CCCTTCACACAATGCAGATGAGGCATGACTTTTTTGGAAGTCACTGTCTGAACTGATTTCACTGACTGTTTTTAAGTTCTTATGCACTATTGGTTAATAAGATTTAATGTTATGTCTGTAACTGTAGCTTGTGTTCTGTAAGATGGCACGTGTAGCTTCAAATATTTAAGACGGGTGTTCTGCATACCTCTCAATTGTCTGGATTTTTCATTTAAAGAAATCTGCCATTAGACATTCCATCACGAGACGGTTGATGAGTGCCAGTTAACCAGGTTTGATTGTACCACATGCAGTGATAAACTTGACCAAACATACTTCTAAATTTTTGTTCAATTCTTTAAAAAAAAGTCTAGGAGATGTACTGTGCGTAATTAAAAGCTGACGATTGCTTAGGTTTTGCTTAACGGTGGAGCAGTATGAAAAGGCACAGAATTGCAGGTCTTAGCTGTCGTATGTGTGCGCAGATGTAAACAAAGTACACAGCTTGAATATTTGAAGTCTGATAGTAATGGTAGTTACTTACATGATATGCTCAAGGAACTGATACCAGCAGGGAGGGGCAGCAGGGGCGTAGCTACCTACACACGCTGCTTTGTTAATGTCGTCCTGCGTATAAAATAAGAGCTCAATTTTATCTGTGCTGGTAGAGGAACAAACGGGTGTCAAGGCCCCGGCGCAGAAGCCAGCCTATAGCTGGTGGTCTTTCAGCCCTAAGTGTGTGCTTCACCAGACTGCCTGCGATGGTGACATTCGGAGGTGCGTAAGGGCTGTAGACTCACTCGTTTCATCACCTTTTTCAGTGAGACTTCTGCATCCCTGCCCCCAGCACGACGGATGCTTCGGAAAATCTTCCAAACCAGTGGCTAAATTTGTAGTCCTTTGCAGTCCTTGTGAGGGAGGAACGCTTAGGACTTGTACAAGCCTTCTGGAACTCTTACCTTTTTTGTGGTCAGGAACTGTGTTTTCTTTTTCATTCCTGTGCTGCTAAGCCTACTTCTCAATGTGATGCTACTCTCTGGATCACTGGCCATAGAGCTGGCCGTGTATGTGTTGGCAGTGCATTTTTTGTATGTTAATTGCATTGCAGCAGTACCTTCTTTTGCTGGCACACCGAGTACGTGCAGCATTGCTCTGATTTATGAGCTAGACGCTTGAGAGGTGTGATCCTTCCATATAATACGCACTGAGATAGCATCGTTACCGTCCTTCTCGAGGGAAAAACTTTGAACGATAGAAATTTTAAGTAGCAATCGAGTTCTGTATATTTAATCAAAAATACTCTAATAAAAGAGTATTTTGTTTGAAGTATTAATTGGTTTTTTTCTTTCTTTAATGTGGTTGTCATTCCTGTTGAACAGATGTCGCCAGATGACTCAATAGTCCTTCAGAGTGAGGAGTTGTGTCATTTACCTTGGACTACTCTACAAAAAGAGGCTCGATCGTCCAGCGCTGTGCTAGTTGCACTGAGCTGGCTTTGCTGGTCGTATCTCACACCTGCAGTTTATCTTCAGTTTGTGTTTGAAGTCCAGATTCTGCTATGTTGGTATTATTATACAAAGTGATAGCCACCTTCGTATTTATAACCTTATAATTTTTATTAAAAAAAACTCCAGCCTTTGTAATATTTGTAATAATTCATGGCATTTCTGAAATTTGAAAACTGATGACTGATGGCAGTCTTCTAGCAGAAGGAAGTGATGGGAATTGGTGGAAGATTCTTTTTTGGGGGGGGGGGGGCAATCGCCCCGTTCCCCCTCCCCACACACACTCACTTAGGTCATATCTGCTGATTTTACTAATTTTTTTTTTTTTTTAGTTTATTCTGAGAGAGGGAAAAAGTTGGTTAAAATATTAGTAAAATAAGGAGTTCTTCAGTTGAAACATTAGAAGAGGAGCCGAGTAATTTGGCAATAACCAAGATGCTACAGCTGCACACAATTTTTTCATTAAATCAGACTAAACTCGCAATGTCGAGTGCAAGAGTAAAAAGTTTGGGCGTAATGCAGAAAGTTACAGTGCATCAACTCAGCAGGCGGACTCCCCGCGCC